GTAGAGCGCTAGCCTTGAGCTGAAGAGCTTAGGGACAGTGCCCAGGCCCAAAGTTCAGGCCCTACTACCGGACCAAAAAAACAAAACAAAACAAAAACAGAAGTCCTGAGGGCACAGGGGAATTTGGGTAGGAGGGCAGGAGAAGGCTGCCCATCTTTATCACTTTTAAGGACCAATCACTTCATGTAAAGAGTTCTGGAGCTGCCAGGTGCTGGTGGCTCATGCCTATCATTCTAATTACTCAGGAGGCTGAGATCTGAGGATCATGGTTTGAAGCCAGCCTGAACAGGAAAGTTTGTGAGACTCTTGTTTCTAATTAACCCACAAAAAGCCAGAAGTAGAGCTATGGCTCAAGTGGCAGAGCCAGCAGAAGCCAGGCCCTGAGAAACATTGGCTTTTATAATAATAATAAGTTGTTATTATTGTTATTATTATTGTTGTTATTATCTGGCAGTCCTCATCCCTTCCCTCCCTATTGCCTGATGCTCGCAGGTACATAAACAGGTTCCGCCAAGCTCAGCCCACAAGCCGAGAGGAACGTCAGTCTGCAGGCCCAACCCCAGCAGACTTTTGGTGGCTGCAACCTGAGTTGCCAGACACCAGCGGTCAGTTTGGCACAGGTATATTCTTTGGTCCCATCCACCTCCAGCTGAAAATCTTTCCTGATTCATGACCCAGGCAGCCACTCTTCCTGGTCCCTGTAACTCAACTGAGGTTTCTCAGCAGGAGCCAATGAGTCAGAAGGAAAATCCAGAAGAGCAGCAGCAGTCCCAACTCCCACCAAGGTAACCAGCACATCCCAGGCCAGGGTTCTCCTTCAGGAAATAAAGCAGGTGTATCCTCATCCACTCCCTCCCCTGGGTGCCTGAACTGACAGCCCCAGCCCTCGAGTAGAATTAAAGCCAATCCTCAACTCAGGAAATCATAAACAAAAATAGGACTTGTGAGCTGGGCACTGGTGGCTCACGCCTGTAATCCTAGCTATTCAGGAGGCTGAGATCTGAGGATTGTGGTTCAAAGCCAGCCCAGGCAGGAAAGTCCGTGAGACTTTTATCTCCATGAAACCACTAGAAAACCGGAAGTGGCGCTGTGGCTCAAGTGGTAGAGAGCTCACCTTGAGCTGAAGAGCTCAAGGACAGCGCCCAAACCCAGAGTTCAAGCCCCACGACCAATAAAAAAAAAAGGGACTTGTTTTGGGGCTGGGAAAGCGGCTCAGTGGTAGAGTGCTTGCCTTGCATGCATGAGGCCCTGGGTTTGATTCCTCAGCATCACATAAGCAGAAAAAGCCAGAAGTGGCGCTGTGGCTCAAGTGGTAGCACACTAGCCTTGAGTTGAAGAGCTGAGGGACAGCGCCCAGGCCCAGAGTTCAGGCCCATGACTGACAAAAAAAAAAGGACTTGTGGGCCGAATGTAAATTTGAATTCCAAAAGTAGATGCTTTCAGGAACAGCCAGATCCAGCTGTCTGGACAGTGTTGGAAGGAACCTAATTCTTGAGGTTCTGTGTTCTTCTTTGCTAGGCAAGCTTGCCCCTCTCAGTAGCCAAGATGGCCCCAGTTAAGGCTCTAGGCTGCCATGGTGCTAACTCAGCTTCTGCAGTGAAAAGTGATGGTGTTTCCAGTAGCTCCATTCAAAGTCCCAGGGCACACTCTTATTTGTTCATCCTTAAGTCAATCACCTTGAAGCAGAAGGTAGAGCCAGTTCCAATAGTGGGGGTGGGGGGGTGGGACTTGCACCAGATGGATGTGCTTCCAAAGAAGCACATCTTCCCTGAGAAGGAGGCCATGAAGATGCCAGCTGGAGTCTAGCCTGCACTCCAGGCCTTCTGTCCAAGCTCCTTTCCCAGCAGCCTTTGTAGTGAGGCCAGCTCTGACCCCTCTCTCCTTGCAGAGCCTCAACACTTGGAAGTCATCCCTGCTGGACCTGGAGACACTGAGCCTACAAAGCAGAGCAGCCAGACTGCTCAAACGCAGGTGCCCACCTCCCACCCCATCAACCTTCCCATTGCTTCTAGCCACAGCCTAGTCCAACTGCTTCTAAGAGCTCTGCCTTCTCCCTACAGCAAGGCCTCCATCTCCTCCTCCTTCAGCCCCAGTGAAGCCAGCAGCTCCTCCTTCCCTGTCAGCTCCGATGGCTTCCCTCCTCTCCCCATGACTTTCACCCCTGACTCCAGCAAGGACTCTGGCCCCAAAGCACCTGGTAAGTGCTGGGAATCCAGAAGGGAGAACAGCATGAATTTGAATCTCCTCTCCACCATTTACCAGCTGGGTACCTTGGAATATCATGGGGGCCTGTCTCCCCTGCTGTAAAAGAGGAGTGCTAGCTGGATTCTACAGGTCTTGTGAGAGTAAAATGAATTCATGACAGGTGGAGAACACTTTGGTTCAGCTGTCTACGGCTAGCATGTATATGAGAGGCCTAGCACTTTTTGTGATTCCAGACAGGTGAATTGCAGTATTGGTGTTTGAACTCCAAGCCTTGTGCTTGTTAGGCAGAGGCTTTTATTGCTGCCTCTAGTCCTTGCTGGTCATGTCATCTTGAACAAAGTCTGAAAATGCTTTTTGAAATTTGGCATCCAATTTATTTAAAAGCAAATTTTGATTATGAGATTGTTTATAATCTATCTTGAATTTATTTAGGTTGAATATCCCCTGCCTCCTTTTTTTTGGCTCGTACTAAGGCTTGAACTCAGGGCCCCACACTGGCTTGGCCTGTAGCCTGATATTTTGCTAGTTAATTGGAGATAAGAGTTTTAAGGACATTTGGCTTCAAATCACAATCCTTCAGATCTCAGCCTTCTGAGTCACTATAGAATCTTTATGGCCCAGGCTAGCCTGACCTTTGAAGTCATCCTACCTCAGCCTGGAATTACAGGTATATGCCACTATGCTTGGCTAGGCTTCTAAATTTTACCATGAAGGAGATACAATTAGGGAAGGATTCCTGCCAAGAAGCCCTGACTACTCAGGTGTCCACAGGCTCTCTGTGCCTATGAATGGGCAAGCAAGGAGAGTAGGAATCCAGCAAGAAGCCTGTTGTGGTAGTAGTACAGGTGGGGTGAGTGGGGCTGGACCACGGGGAGGGCAGTGACAGGAGCAGGAGAATGGACAGATTTAGAAGAATTTGGCCTCTTCACTACTGAAACCCCAATGTCCAGAACACACATGCATGGCACATAACAAGAGTTCCATAAATATTAGTTGGCTGAATGAACTGAAAGATAGGTTGAGCTGGGTACCAGTGGCTCACACTTGTAATCCTAGCTACTCAGGAGGTTGAGATCGGAGGATCACAGTTCAACACCAGCCTGGGTAGGAAAAGCCCATGAGACTCTTATCTCCAACTAAGCAGCAAAATGCTGGAAGTGGAACTGTGGCTCAAATGGTAGTGTGCCACTTTGAGCAAAAAAGCTAAGAGACAGCACCCAGGCCCTGTGTTCAAGCCTCAGGACTGGTACCACATACACACAACTCTATTGGCAGGTTGAAAACCTGTGGAGTGTCTGTCCTCTGACTCTTCCCCCCTCCCCCCTCCCTCTCTGGCAGGGAGTTGGGCATCACCTGAGCAGCCTTGTCTCTGGCACAGCTGAGGGAGGTGAGCAGCCTGCTGACACACTGGCTCCTTTCCTACCCTCACCCTTCTACTTCTCTCAACACCAGCTCCAGCCGCTGCCTCAGCCACCGCCTCTCCCTCCTCCTCCCGGGCACCCCTGCGACCTGAGGATGACATTTTGTATCAGTGGAGGCAACGTCGGAAACGCGAACAGGCTCAAGGAGGCCAGGGCGATGGAACATGGGTGCAGCCCCAGCCCGCAGCCCCTACCGCTCTGGTGAGTTGGGAGAGGGCAAGGCCAGAGGGGACTGGAGGAAGGAGGATCCCCAGGGGAACTCCCCTGTCTTCCTCTCCCTCTCACAGCCTTCCTTCTGTTTGTCCACAGGCCTCTCCTGCCCCTCAGACCTCCTTTAATTCTGTGGGGACCCAGTCCAGCTGTGCTCCACCGTGGGCCAGTCTGGCTCAGGCTGGTCCCCCTGAGACCTATATAGAGAGACCTTTTGTGCCACCCGGGGCCTCTCCACACGTCCTCTGGGCCTCCAGCCCCCATGGCTTCATCTGGGCCCCACAGCCCAGTTCTTGGGTAACTTTAGGGACAGTTCCTCCCACGCTGCTGTCCTCCACTCCATCTCCCCTAGCCTCTACCCTAGTGCTGCCAGTCTCCAACCCAGCTCATCCAGCCTCCACCCCGGCTCCCCCAGCCCCCATCCCAGATCCCTCAGCCTCCACCCCAAATTCCCAGCCCTCCATCCGTGGGCCCCCTGCTACCCACCAGGGCCCTCATACCCCAGAACAAAGCAGCCCTGCTCAGCCCCAGAAGCTGAGTCCCGAGCCTTTGAGGACCAGAGCTCCCCGTCAAGAGGCTGCTGGGGGCATCAAGACAACGGATGAGGGACCTGGCCCGCAGCTCAGGGGGGCCCTGGGCCAGGTAGTGACCGCTCGGCTGTTCCCCAACAGCCCGGGGGAGGACACGCCTCCATCGAAGGCCGAATCTGTGATTCGCAAGACTAGACCTTCCCAAGCCAAAGTCAAGCCCCCTGGACAAGAGGCCACGCCCTCTCCGCTTGACTCCCGAGCCAGATCAGAGGGGGATGCCCAGAGAGCCAAGGCCACGCCCCCCTGCGGAGGGCCGGAGCTCCGGGCAGGTAAAGCCACGCCCTCAGCGGAAGCTGCGGACCAGCCTGCCCCGACCTCCGCGGAGGCCTTCAAGGCGGGGACTCGGGGACCCGTTGCCACGCCTCCCGGTGGCCACACCCCCTCGGAGGAGTTACTATTACAGGCCGCCCAACTTTTGCAGGCTGCAGAAGGTGAGCTGGTTGCTCACCTCCGGGATTTGGGTGGGGATCCAGCCCACCCCCTGAAGTCTCACGCTTTCCGCCCCCCTGCCCCTCAGACTCCGACGGCAGCGAGTTTCAGGAGGACCCTGTGCTGCAAGTGCTGAGAGCTCAGAGGGCAGAGCTGCGACAGCAGAAAAGGTGACCCTCATCACCAGGCTAGGTGTTCTCCGATTGGGTGTCCGACCCTGCTTTGAGCCCCTTTCCCAGACCCCATTTACAACCCAAGACCTGAATCCTGAGCACAAACCCTAGTCTCTCCTTCCCCCACTATTCTCCAGGAAAGTGGAAGCTCAAATATCCCTCCTGGTGTGCCACACTGAAGACCCAAGGCCTTGGTCTCCTCCAGCCATATCACCAAGAAGGAGGTCCCCAAGGAGGCTGCGGAGGGAAGGAGCCTCCTTCGAGGCCAGACGACTTTGAATTGTATATATTCTCTTTTGCCCAATGAAACATTTTTTTCTCAAGTCAATCTCTAAGAAATGGATTTTGTGGAAAGGCCCAAGGGTTGTGCTAGCTTAAGGAATTGTGTTGATGCTGTCACCTCCTTTTCTTCCTATTCCTTTTTTTTTTTTTGGGTCCAGTCGTGGGGCCTGAACTCTGGGCCTGGGCGCTGTCCCTCAGCTC